GATGCTGAGGCTGATGCTCATGTTGATGCGGCTGCTGCTGATGATAATGATGCTGATGCTGATGCTGCTGCTGGTGATGATGATAAGGCGACAATGGAACTCTGATGATGACTTGGATGATTATGATGGTTGTGATGACGATGGTGCTGATGATGATCATGATGATGATGATGATGATGATGATGATGATGATGATGCTGTCGCTGATGCTGCTGCTTATGATGATGCTGCTGCCGCCGTTGATGAAGAGTATGATGATGAAGATGATTATGATGATGGGCGTAATGATGATAGCGTGGTGCTTATGCTGATCATGCTGCTGATGGTGCTGATGCTGACTTCATGGTGATGGTAAGGTGGTGATGATGATGCCGATGCTGATGCTGATGCTGATGCTGCTGCTGATGCTGACGCTGTTGATGATGTAAAGCCTATGACGATGACGATGGTGATGGTGATGGAGACGATGGTGATGACGATGATGATGACCATGATGGTTTGGTGGTGGTAATGATGGCGATGCTGCTGATGATGCTGATGCTAATGATGGTAGTAACATGATGATGTGGGTGATGCTGAGCATTCTGGTGATGATGGTGCTGCTAGTATGATGATGATAATGTTGCTGCTGCTGCTGATTTTGATGATGGTGCTGATGCTGATGCGGATGCTGCTGATGATGACGATGTTGCTGATATTGATGCTGGCGATGATGATGACAGGATGACGGGAATGATGCTATGATGATGGTGTTGATGCTGATGCTGCTGCTGATGATGCTGGTAGTGGGATGATGATGGTGTGGGCGGCTCGATTGTGATGATTGTGATGATGATGTTGATGATTAGCTGATGGTGGCGACGATGGTCAAGATGTGGCTTAGGATGATGATTCGAGGATGTTGGCGATGCCGATGATGATGGTGCTGATGCTTCTGATGATGTTGATGTTGCTGCTGCTGATGATGAGGATGCGTCTGCAGCTGATGATGCTGGTGGTAAGTTGATGGTGGTTTGAAGATGGTGATCATGATGACGATGCTGCTGATGATGATGATGATGCTGGTGCTGATGCTGATGCTGTCGCTGATGCTGCTGCTTCTGATGATGATGATGATGATGATGAGATGATGATACGGTGATGTTGAAAGTGCTGATGTCGATGCGGATGCCCATGCTGATGCTGATGCTGATGCTGATGCTGCTGCTGTTGCTGATGCTGCTACCAGGGTGATGGTGATGCTGATCGTATTATCATGATGATGGTGATGAGGATGATGATGATGACGATGACGATGACGATGTGATGCTGATTATTTTGATGAGTCGACCGGTGTTTTTTGGTATGATGATGGCGTCGATGATGCTGATGATGATGTCAATGACGATGATGCGGCCGCAGATGATACTGATTTTGTTGTTCATGGTAATGATGACGACGACGACGATGGTACTGAACATGGGGCTAATCATGACCATGCCGATGACGATGCTGCTGATGCTAATGCTGATGCTGCTGATGGTACTGGTGCTGGTGATGGTAATACGATGGTGGTGATGATGAAGATGAAGATGATGATGATGATGCTGATGATGGCGAGGAAGATGATGGTGATCAGACGGTGATGATGATGGTGCTGCTGATGCTGATGCTGTTGATTCTGTTGATGATGCTTGTGATGATTGTGCTGATGCTGATGATGATGCTGATGCTGATGCTGATGCTCATTATGCTGCTGCTGATGATGCTGCTGCTGATGATGATTGTAATGATGATGGCACGGAGGTCATGATGATGACGACGATGATGCTGCTGATGATGCTGATGCTGATGCTGCTGCTAATTCTAATGTGGATGCTGATGCTGCTGCTGCCGATGGCGATGATGCTGTTGTTGTTGATGGTGATGACGATGCTGATGATGCTAATGATGTGACTGGTGACGAAGATGGTGATGCCACTAGATGATGAGTTGGTGATGTCGGTTCCGATTCTGGTGATGCTGATGATGGTGCTGATGCTAGCGCTGTTGCTGATGCTGATGCGAATGCTGCTTTTGACGGTAGCAGCGGTTCTGTTTTTGCAGATGATGATGTTGAGATGATGATGGTGATGTTGATTTCGATGGGTATGATGATAGTGGTGATGGCGTTGATGATGATGGTGGTGATGCTGATGATGTTGATGATCATGATAATGATGACGATGACGATGGCGATCACGATGACCACGGCAATGACGATGACGGTGGCGATGACGGTGCTGATGCTGATGCTGATGCTGATGCTGATTCTGATGCTGATGCTGGTGCCGCTGCTGCTGATGACGATGACGCTGTTGATGACGATGCTGCTGCTGATGATGAGGTTGGTGCTGATAATGATGACTGTGATGATCATGGTGATGGTGGTGATGATGATGCTGCTGATCATGAAACGATTACGGTGACGATGAAACAATGACCACGAGGACGATGACGATGAGGATGATGATTGTGATGATTTTGATACCTATGTAGCTGATGAGGATTAGGAGGCTTATCATGATGATGATTATGATGCTGATGCTGATGGTGGTGATGATGATGGTGCTCGTGATGGTGGTGATGATGATTATCATGCTGATGCTGATGCTGATGCTGATGATGATGCTGATGCTGATTATCAGGATGAGGATGATTGTGATGATGATGATGATGATGCTGATGATGATTATGATGATGATGATGATGATACTGATGATGATGATACTGATGATGATGATGATGATGATGATGATGATGATGATGATGATGATGATGATGATGATGATGATGATGAGGGGGAGGAGGAGGAGGATGAGGATGAGGAGGAGGAGGAGGAACAGAAGAAGGAGAAGAAGGAGGAGGTCCAGTGTAAACCCACGAATCATCAACGATGTTGCAATACACCCTCCCTCCAAGTTGCTTCTTCATAGGCCCCTACAGAAATTTGCTGCAGTGCAGGACTTGCCCCATTAAACAACAATCGTCTGCGAATGCTCCATCGTCCATCGTGCCAGAGCACCGTGCCTGGAATTCAACGCGGCGAATCAACATGACTGTCACGTTCTGGTAACCTTACATCGTGCCAGAACACCATGCGTTGGACGTCAGCGTCGCGAATCAACGTGATGGCAATTCTGAATCCTGCCGGAATGCCATCCCTGGGACTTCAACCCTAGGGGTCCTTGACCCTTTGCACACGATTGAGGCGAATGCATGCGGCGCTAAGGCGAGAGCCGCATTTTGAACACCACACACCACCCGCCCTCCATCCTTGACGCTGCTGCAACTTGTGGAACGAATGTGTGCGCGTGGTGCTACAGAGAGAGCCACATTTTGAGAAGCAAGTGCCCTCCATCCTTGGAAGGGTTGCAAACTTCTGCGACGAATGTGCGCGGCGCTGAGGCCAGAGCCACATCGTGGAAACCATCCGCCCTCCAGCCTTGAAGCTGTTGCAGCTCTCAAGCTCGTGGATCGCAGGTGGTGGGGAAGTCTCCGGCGAAACGCCTTGCTCGCCCCACCGACACGCCTGGGGCTGCGACAGTGTGGAGTTATTCATACATAAGGAGAAAGGATGGAGGAAGAGGAGGAGGAGGAGGAGGAGGAGGAGGAGGAGCCCATGTGCCTACCCCATCACTCCTTCCTCCCCTGCCCTCCTCGTTCGTCCTCCTCACCCTTCTTCCTCCTCGACTTCCTCCTTCTCCTCTTCCTCCTCTTCGCAGGCCCCCGTGCCCTCTGGCGGGCGCGGCCTGCGCTGGGTGTTCGCAGGGGCTGGGCTCGGAGGGTTGGCGCCAGCAGGTCGGTCCTGGCCCCTTCGGGCTCCGACTTGCTCGTGCTGACCCTCGGGGTCTGGCTCTTTGTGAGCCCCTCCCGCCCGTCCGCGGGCCCGATCCCTTGGCCTCTCGGCTTCTGCTCGCTCGCTCGCTCCTTGTTCGCATTATCCTCATCTTCATCTTCACTATCCCTCCTCATTGCCTCCTCTTCCTCCTCCTCCGCTCTTTCTTCATCCTCTTCCTCCGCCTCTTCCATCTTCCTTCTCCTCCCCCTTCTGCTCTCCCTCCCTCCTTTCTCATCCTCCTCCCTTCTTCCTCGTCTCCCTTCATCCCCAATCGTTCCTTTTGTCTCTCATGTCTCCTCCCTGCTCCCTCGTCCCCCTTTCCTCCCCCATGCCCTGTGTTCCCACCCACGCGTCCTCCACCTCCCCTACCTCGGGTAGCTGGAGAGCGTGGGGGCAGGAGGCACCGCATCTGGGGATACAGACAGTTTTCAGGAATGAATATCTGCATTTCTAAACAGAAGGAACACCCCTCACCCTACAGCCGATCACTGGCCCCCATCGCGCCGTTGGCATCGAACGCGTTGGGTCACGAACTCTCTCGCGCAGTGTACGCCAGGCTCCAGGCTCCAATGCAAGTAGACCTTGAGCGTGCGATGATTCAACTACCTGTGTGATCCCAAACCCAGAGAGCGGCGCGGCCCGGATGGCCCGCGAACCTGCGTGTATTGCTGTGGGCAGACGAGCGCAGACGTGGGTGCATTGCTGTGCACGCAAGTGCTGAAGCCATAGTGTGATTCGTGACCTGGCCTGAGCCAAAGCGTAGTCAGATGCGTAGTAAACAGACGTTTCGGGACAAGCTGCAACGACTGGCCACATGTTGCGACGCTCGCGGACCGACGCCAGACGAGTCTGCGGCCGGCTTCTCTGGAGACCCGATGAGCTCTCAATCAGCTTGACAGGACAAGAGATGGAGCGCGCTCACCTCCACTAGGTGTACCGCGTCGGCGGCCTGCCCGCGGATTCCCAGATTCAATATACTTCAGGCGTCTTACTGCTTCAATCATCGGGTGGTTTTCCCTTTCCCTTCCTCTTTAGGGGGCGGGCGGAAGCCTGACCTACTTTCAACGCCTTCCTTCTTCATGCTTCTGCTCACATTCGGACCGGTGGGTGCAGCAAGACCCATTGTCCATTCTTCGCTCAGGTGGAGAAGACTAGCGGCGGGTGGTTGCATTTGCAGTGCTCGCAGGAGCCGAGCCTCGTGCAGAAGCCGTTCGAGGACGTCTGCTGGGCGGACCTCGTCCTTGCGTCCAGCGGCCTGAGCGTCGGGCTGCAGGCGGAAGAGCCAGAGCTGGAGGCTGACGAGCTCGAGGCGCCCGGGCCCGAGCCCGAGGTGGCCGATGTGGTCGTGGTGAACGGGGTGACCGAGCCCGGAGCCGTGCCCCTGAAGCAGCACAGGCACATTGTGCGGACGCTGAACCACGCCTTCAAGCCCTTCAGGAGGCGCATCCCGGTGAAGGACCCAAAGGTGGGGGACCCGGTCGAGGCTCTGTGCAGCGGCGAGTGGCGGCACGGCACGGTGGAGAAGGTGGTCCAGGCGAGGCCGGCAGGGTGCGGGTACGGGCTGCGTCAGGACGTCGAGCAGGGCCAGGTCGTCGTGAAGTTTGCCAGGGCCGATCCGACCGCCTCCAAGGCCGACGACGCGTCGCAGTTCACGAAGGCAATGGACCTGGACAAGGTGTGGATGAAGTCCGAGCCGCAGTACCGCAAATTTGGCGGCAAGCCCGTGAAGGACGTGAAGTCCTTCTTCAACGCGCTGGACGCAGACAAGAGTGGCGCCCTGGACGTCGACGAGCTCTTGAACGGTTTCACGCGGCTGGGCATATCCACGAGATCTGACAAGGAGGCCGTCGTCAGCTTCCTGAGGCAGCTCGACGAAGACGGCGACGGCTGCATCCAGCTGGCCGAGCTGGAGGCCGGGCTCAAGGAGCAGCGCCCCGGCAAGAGGCAGCCGCGGCAGGGCTCGACAGGCAACGGGATCCTCAGGATCGGGCTTGGACGAATGGGGGCCAGCATCGTTTGACCGACCCCCATCCCCATCCCCATCCCCATCCCCATTCCTTTCGAGACCCCCACCAAATTACCCCCCCAGCTGGGGATACGCTCCTCGAAACCCGAAGGGGACGGCCTACATACCCATCCAGGGGGGTAAATCGGCCAGTGGGGCCCAGCCCGCGTCGCTGGGGATGGGGATCGGATAAACGATGCTCAGGGGGGGAGGAGACAGGGAAATGGGGGGGTGGGGCGGCCACGAAATCTGCTTCGTGCAGCCGGTTTCGGCACCGCCGCCGGGCGCACTCCTCGACGCAGGGGCACCTCTGGCGCCGGGAGGCGCCGGAGAGACCGGCTGCGTGAGCTGATCAGCACCCCCCCCTTTGCTGCCCCTCCCATGTCGTCGGCATCGCCCAAACATACTGCTTATACCATGTCTGCGTCGCCCGCCCCCCCCCCCTCTGCGACCGACGCGCGCGCCCAGCACTCTTGCAGCATAGGCTTGGTGGCGGACGCCTTCTGGCCACACCGCCTGGGTAGCGGCATACGATATACCATCACGTGCTTGTGCTGCACGTTCGGTGCGGACGTGCGCCTTCAGGGGGGCGCATAGCACCAGCGTGTCCTTTTCTGCGTCCCGCTCCCTCCGCTCCGACAGGAGCAGCCAGAGGTCTCCCCTCGAGGAGGGGAGGTCGCCAGCCGGCGAGGCGCCCGGCTCTCCGCGGAAGGGCAGGGGGCCACGTGCGAACCCTGCCCCTACCCCCCCCGCGATTTCTGAGGGGGAGGGTGGGGTTCACGTCGTTCGGGAGCTCTCGAGCGAAGTGAACCCCATCCTCCCCCTCAGAAATCGTGGGGAGTAGGGGTATTACCAGCCTGGAACATATCCCTATCCCTATGCTGGGCATCTCCTCATCACGACGCCAATCTTAGGGATTCCCTCATTTTTTGAGGGCGAATCCCTGAGATTTTTCATCGCCTCTTGGCGTGCCGATCTTAGGGATAGGGATAAGTTCGAGGCTGGTAAGGGCAGGGGGGGCTCACTTCGTCCGGGAGCTCTCGAGCGAAGTGACCCCCCCCGCTCCCCCTCAGAAATCGTGGGGGGCAGGGGGGGTGGGGTTCACTTCGTCCGGGAGCTCTCGAGCGAAGTGACCCCCCCCGCTCCCCCTCAGAAATCGTGGGGGGGGTAGGGGCAGGGTTTTGCATGTGGCCCCCCGAAAGGCGCCCTCGACCCTGGCGACTCCACGGGTCGTCTCTGCGCGGGGGCCCCCGCAGACGCCGCGCGTCGTCTCCGCGCGGGGGGCGCCCTCGGCGGCGGCGACCCCGAGGTCCCCGCGGGCCCAGGCGAGCAGCGGAGGCGAGCACCTGCCGGACGTCAAGGCTCAGGAGGGGAAAAAGCACAGACATGATTCATTGTCGATTCCAAGGGAACTATGGAAAAATATGGGAAGTGGGGGGGAAGACAAAAGCCCAGAAAGTATGGGGAAACATGGGGAGTCCGGTTATTTGTGTCTATTCATTTGTGTGTCCCTGGGCCCCTTCAAAGGTGAAGTCGCTCATGTCCGTGTTCCGCGCGCTGGACCGCCGGGGGATCTGCGCCATCAGCCACGAGGACTTCACCTGGGCCGTGACGCAGTTCAGCGACCAGAAGGACTTCCAGAAGGTCATCCGCACGCCCGCCGTGTGCAAGCACTTCTTCACCAACCGGTACGACCTCACGCTGCACAGATTCCTGTGGCTGGCTTCGCCTGCTGGGTCGGACATCAACTACATGCTGCGGCGGGCGCGTCAGGAGCTGAAGGAGGAGCTGGGCAAGTCTGCCCGCTCGCCCGGCCAGAAGACCTCTCCGCAGGCCGGGCGGGCTGGCTTCCGCTGGCCCTCGCGAGAGGATGCCTAATTAGCCACATCTGCGGCTCACCACGCACCCTGGTGTCGGTCTGCTCGGCGACTGCCTTCGCTCTGGCGTTTTCCCCGCCGGCTTGCCGGCGCCCTCTTGCTGCGATGATTCGGGGTCTTCCTCTACCGAGCCTTGTTCGGATGCCCTCGCCGTTTTCTGCGGGTGATGGCGCGCAGCTCTCTCAGCGAGTAGAGCGATCACGCTCGGGCGACCACGCGCGACCGGTGATGATGAGGCCGCGCATGCGCGACTGGCCCGTTGCCTCCCAGCGCCGATGGCGGTCCAGGGGGCAGAAGTCGATGGTTGTGGGATGCCTGCTTGTCATAATCTGTTTATTTCGTCCTTCCACGAAAGTGGAGGAGCCTAGCGCATGTGGATGCCCTCCTGCCTGCGGGTGACCACCCGAAGTCTCTGCCCCGCGAGACGGCCGCAGATGTGCGCTCTTCTTGAGAGTCAATGCTAGAAATCATGCGATGATGCCAGCGCGAACAGCTGAGTCGTGTAGCAGTCATGTTGGGTGCAACATCTGGGGGTGCGATTCGTGACCCGTGGCGTATCCCAGCCAGTTCACCCAGAAACGATCTCGGGGCGAGTGGCCTTGGCCAGGAATCGCGCGGGAGCATGTAGTGACAAGAATTAGGTCGGGTCTGTCCCTCGACAGGAGGGATATCCAAAAATCGTCAAAACATTGTCAGGGGACGTTCTTTTGAGGGGATATTTCGAGCATTTTTGGTATATGTTTCAAGTGTTTTCATTTTTTCGTCCAAAATCGGCCTGTAGGGGTACAGGCCCGACCGAACGTTATGGCTCGTTCCTGAAGTACTACTCACAGCGCAGGATCGCGAAGAGACCAGGAGTCATCCATAAATAAGGTATGCACTTCTTGGGGCTTGATTGGGACTCCCTGATGGTGGCTTTTTAGGCTGCCTTCGTGGCTCTCTTGAGGATCTATTGGGGGCCTTTGGGACCCTCTTCTGCCGATCTACGAGACCGTCGGTCAACTTGACCCAGCAATCCCCCCTAAAAATAAGTAACGGTGAAGAGGTGTGTCGAGGAGTAGGTGTAGGTCGAGACACGGGCATGTGCACCATAGTGATGTGCTTCCCAACTCTCCTGTGGAGTTGGGTCCTCGTTTTGAATTCGCAGCGCCGCGCGTCTCCTCCTCCTCATTTTCCTCCTCCTTTTCCTCCTCCTCTCCTTCTCCTCCTTCTCCTTCTCCTCCTCCTCCTCGTCCTCATCCTCGTCAGCATCATCATCTTGATATCAAGTACATTCACTTACCATCCGTATCAGTATCATCACATTTTCGCCACACCCTTCACACGTTTTGTGGCCTCAGAGGGAGCTCCACCAAAGGTCACAGTGGTCGCGATCTCACACCGCCCCCGACACTGTCGGCACACGCCTCACACGTTTCGTGGCCCCTAGGGAGCTCCACCAAAGGTCACAGTGGTCGCGCTCTCACACCGCCCTCCCGACCATGTCGGCACACGCCTCACACGTTTCGTGGCCCCTAGGGAGCTCTACCGAAGGCCCCAGCGGCAGCGTTGGCATACCGCTCTCCCCGACCATGTCGGCACACCCTCACACGTTCGTGGCCCCTGGGAGTTCCACCGAAGGCCCCAGTGGCAGCGGTCGCATACCGCCCTCCCGACCATGTCGGCACACGCCTCACACGTTTCATGGGCCCTAGGGAGCTCCACCGAAGGCCCCAGCGGCAGCGTTGGCATACCGCCCTCCCGACCATGTCGGCACACGCCTCACACGTTTCGTGGCTCCTAGGGAGCTCCACCGAAGGCCCCAGTGTAAGCGTTCGCATACCGCCCTCCCGACCATGTCGGCACACCCCTCACACGTTTCGTGGCCCCTAGGGAGCTCCACCGAAGGCCCCAGTGGCAGTGTCCGCATACCGCTCTCCCCGACCATGTCGGCACACCCCTCACACGTTTCGTGGCCCCTAGGGAGCTCCACCAAAGGTCACAGTGTTCGCGCTCTCACACCGCCCCCGACCATGTCGGCACACCCCTCACATATTTCGTGGCCCTTTGGGAGCTCCACGAAGGTCCCAGTGGCAGCGTTGTCATACCGCCCCCCGACCGTCTCCCAGGCACCACTCACACGTTTCGGGGTAGGTCCCTGGCGAATCGATCAGGCCTGCTGCAGCTCCCTCCATGTATTCTCGTGCGTTGAGCGCTTCTGCTTGTTGTCGCCTCATGTTAAAAAAGGGGTTAGGCTCCTCGCCAGGCTAATTAGAAGGTACCGTGGCTGTCTGGACCGAGTCGGAGGTCGAGACACGGCCATGTGTACCTCAGTGTATTCCCCAACCATCTTGTGTTGAGTTGGGTCCTCGTTTTGAAGAGACAGCGCCCCGCGTCACTCTCCTCCCCTCCTCTTCTCCTCCTCCCCCTCCTCCCTCCCCCCACCCTTGCCTCTGCCCCCCGTATGTCGTCATCACCATCACCGTCATCATCTTCATTGTCATCACCATCGCTATCATCACCATCATCATCAGATATGCCATCATCATTGCCATCATCATTGCCATCATCACCCGCATCAACAGCATCATCATCTTCACTATCGTACTCATCATCATCATCACCAACACCATCATCAACATCGCCAATATCGTCGTTATCATCACCATTGCCATACCAATCATCACCATCATCACCATCATTGCCATCATCGTCATCGTCATCATCGTCATCATCAGCACCGTCAGCATCCGCGTCATCATCGTCATCATCATCATGATCATCATCATCAGCTGCAACCTAATCATCATCACTATAATCGTCATCATCTTCGTCATCATCACACTCATCATACTCATCATCATCATCATCACCATCCTCATCATCATCACCATCACCGTCATCATCTTCATCATTGCCATCATCATCATCATCACCATCATCGTCATCATTGCCATCAGCATCATCGTCACCATCACCATCGCCATCACCATCACCATCACCATCACCACCACCCTCATCATCACCAGCATCATCATGACCACATCATCATCATCGTCATCATCATCATCATCATCATCATCATCATCATCATCGCCATCATCATCATCACCATCAGCATCAGCACCTTATCATCATCATCATCATCATCATCATCATCATCATCATCATCATCATCATCATCATCATCATCATCATCATCATCGTTAGCATCATCATCATCATCATCATCATCATCATCATCATCATCATCATCATCATCATCATCATCATCATCATCATCACCACCACCACCACCACCACCACCACCACCACCTCTTTCACATGTCTGCTACGGCACACCCCTCACGCTTCGTGGCCCACTAGGGAGCTCCACCTGAGGCCCCAGTGGCTGCGCTCGCATGCCGCCACCCGTTCATATGGGCACGCCCCTCACACGCTTCGCGGTTCCCGATGGAGCTCCACCTCAGGATCCAGCGGCTGCACTCGCATGTCTTCTCCCGCTCCTCCCGGTGCCTGTCAGCCGCAGCGGGGTACATCAGCATGTAACCCGTTCGCACTGACCTCCGCGCCCCCGCGCGGGCTGCCCCAGCGGCAGCGCCCGCGTGGCGGCCCCACCCCAGTTCGGCGCTCTCTTCACGTACTTCGCGGCTCCGTCGGGAGCTGCACCGATGGCGGTTCTCACGCTGGCGGCGCTCACAACTGCGCATGGCTGGGTCCTTCGCCAGGATCGTTTTTCACAAGGGATCGTGGCGGTCCGGACCAAACATGTACACACACACACTGTTCATTTCTACTTCGTCGAAAGTTCTTTGATTTTCTGGGGGGCCAAGATCCTTTCATTTCTAATTGTTCTGTCCTGTGCCTCTTCCTGGCCGCTAGGGGGCCAGGAACAAGTATAAACGAGCAGAATTAGAAATGAGCACGATTAGAAATGAACGACGTGTAGCCCTCATCCAGCAAGGGTCACCGGCGCCCCGAAAGGGTCCCCGCCAGCCCTCCGCCGGTGGCCGCCAGTGCAAGGAGGAGGAGGAGGAGGAGGAGGAGCGAAACGTCAGGAGCCGAAGAAGAAGAAACCACACAAGCAGGAACTCTTGGCGCTCCGCGCGGATTTCTTGGAGCTGCTCCTGGGCCCCCCGGCGGCGCCTCCGGCGCCGCCCCTGGCGCGCTCCGCGCGCCAGGGAGGGAGCTCCAGCGCGGATCCAAGGAATCCGCGCGGACCGCCAAAAGTTTCTGTTTCTGTGGTTTTTTCTTCTTCTAAGAAGGGCGGGCATCGAGGGCGCGGGAGGTGCCCCCCCCCCCCGTGACGGGGACGATCGTGGCTCGCGGGGTGGTCGCCGTCCCCGCCGTTGCCTTCGTCGTCGTCGTCGTCGCCGTCGTCGTCGTCGTCGTCGCCGTCGTCGTCGTCGTGGTCGTCGTCGTGGTCGTCGTCGTCGCCGTCGTCACGCCGTCCCCGCCGTTGCCTTCGTCGTCGTCGTCGTCGTCGTCGCCGTCGTCGTCCCCGCCGTCGCTTTTGTCGTCGCCGTCGTCGTTGTCGTCGCCGTCGTCGCCGTCGTCGTCGTCGTCGTCGCCGTCGCCGTCGTCGCCGTCGTCGCCGTCGTCGCCGTCGTCGCCGTCGCCGTCGTCGTCGCCGTCGCCGTCGTCGCCGTCGTCGTCGTCGCCGTCACGCCGTCCCCGCCGTTGCCTTCGTCGTCGTCGTCGTCGTCGCCGTCGTCGTCGTCGTCGTCGCCGTCACGTCGTCCCCCTCCGTCCTCCGCCCTCTCCGCCCCTCCCCCCCCCGTCGAGGCCTGGGCCCTCTGCCCTCCGCCTCTCTCTATCCTCCTCCCGTGGGCGTCGAGCACCCTCGAGTCGGGCATGCCCCTCCACAGGAGGAACATCGAAAGACAGGCAAAAACTAGTCTGGGCACGACTTTCTGGACTATTCTTGGCCATCTTAGTTTTTTTCTTTTGGGGGGGGGGTGTATTGGTCATTTTCTTCTACAGCCCGCCTGTAGGAGGACGTGCCCGACCTAAGAGCACCCCCTGCGGCTTGCCGGGCCCCCCTCGTCCGCGCTGCTCCGGAGACGCTCCCCTCGCCTCCAACCTCTCTCCTCGACCTGGCTCCGTGCTGGCCAGGCAGCGGCCGCGGGTCCGGCATCGGCCCCATGGCTTCTGCGGGGTCGTCCACCGCGCAGAGGACCTTCGAGCTGGAGAACAAGGTCCAGCAGGTGGACGACAAGACGCTATACGCTTTCGACGAGGATGAGCAGGAGAAGATCTATCAGGCCCACCCGTGGAAGGAAGACGTGCACTTCTTCAAGAACGTGCGCATGTCCGCTGTAGCGCTGGTCAAGATAGTGATGCATGCAAAGTCTGGTGTGCCGAGCGAGGTGATGGGCCTCATGCAGGGGAAGGTCACGTCCGATGGGATTTTCATCATCATGGATGCCTTTCCGTTGCCCGTGGAGGGGACCGAGACGCGAGTCAATGCGGGCGCAGGTGCCAACGAGTTCATGGTCACTTTCACGGAGGCCTGTGAGAAGGCTGGCAGGGCCGAGAATGTCTGCGGATGGTACCATTCGCATCCAGGTTATGGTTGCTGGTTGAGCGGCATCGATGTGCAGACGCAGATGCAGTACCAACAGCACCAGGAGCCCTTCCTCGCTGTGGTGGTTGACCCTGTACGGACCCACGCTTCGGGCAAGGTGGATATCGGAGCTTTCAGGACATACCCTTCAGGATACACCCCTCCAGATGACGGTCCCTCGGAGTACCAGTCCATTCCTTTGGACAAGGTGGAGGATTTTGGGGTCCATTGCAAACAGTACTACCCAGTGCCAATGGAGTTCTTCAAGAACAGTCTGGACAACACGATTCTGGAGCTTTTGTGGAACAAGTACTGGATCGACACGTTGGCGTCCTCCCCGCTCCTGCACAACCGTAGCTTCTGCAATCAGATGGTTCATGATTGCGTCCAGAAGATGGAGCAGATTGACACAGCGGCCGTAGCGCAGTCCAGACTCCGGATGGCGATGCACGAGCCCAAGAAGCGCAAGGAGGACAACCCGCTGAGCAAGGTGTCCATCGACGCAGCCAAGAATGCTGGAGACAATCGGGGTAAAAGCCCTCCCTCAAGCAAACCCGACGTGTGGTGAAGAGAAGCTGAGGAGGATAATAATGAATGGGGAGTAGGAGCAGTCACAGGAAGAGCAGGAGCACTATAAGGAGCATATGGGAGAGGAGCTGGGGTCCAATGGAGTCCAATCTTACGGAGTCCGCTGGGGTCCATCGAGTGCAATGGAGTCGTGTGAAGAATTTCCGTAGAGACGTATGGGTGTTCCAATGGAGTCCAATGAAGTCCACTAAAGTTCAATGGGGTCCTATGGAGTCCGATGGGATGTCCTGGTGACCAATGCAGTCCAATAGTCTATAATGGAGTCTAATGGAGTCCAATAGGGGTTCAATGGAGCCCACTGCAGTCCACTGGAGTCTGATGGAGTCCAATTCTCCCCGTTGGGGTCTTTCGGGCTCGACAGAGTCCAACGTGGTCCAATGGAGTCGTATTGCTCTTGTCCATTGTGGTCCGTTGGGCTCAACGGCGTCCGGTGTGGTCAAATGGAACCGTGTAGTTCGTCCGATGAAGTCCCATGGAGTCCTACGCAATCCAATTGGTTCCTATGCAGTCCAATTGATGAGTCGTATTGTACAATCCCTCGTAGGGGGTACTGCGTTGTGCCCCGCAGGGTAGTGCATTGTCTCCCACCCCCGCAGGGTGTATTAGATTTCCCCCCGCAGGAGATATTGCAGGTGCTGTGTGGAGTCCAACCGGAATCCTTTCAGTCAATTCGTCTATTCCTATTCGGAGTCAGCGCTACTTTAGATGATGAGAAAGATGCGATGGAGGGGGAGTAAGAGGAGGAGGATGAGGCGAAGGAGGGTGAAGAGGAGGAGGATGGAGAGGAGGAGGAGGGCACTGATGATGATGCTGATGATGCTGCTGCTGATGATGATGATGCTGATGATGATGGTGGTGATGATGATGCTGCTGCTGCTGCTGCTGATGATGATGATGATGATGATGATGATGATGATGATGATGATGATATTGATGATGATGAGGAGGATGAGGAGGATGAGGATGAGGAGGAGGAGGAGGAGGAACGGGTTTTGAGGCATGAGGAGGAGGAGGAGGAGGAGGAGGAGGAGGAGGAGGAGGAGGAGGAGGAGGAGGAGGAGGAAGGCGTATGATACCCCTTCAGGAGAGCAGGTGCAGGGGCTCACCAACCAGGTCGCCGCAGGGCTCCAACAATCGATGGGGGTCGCGGGGCGCAGCCCAGTGGACGTGGCAAAGAACACATTGTGGCACTCGGGCGAGGGGAGAGGAGTTGCGTAGGGGGTGAGGATGATGCGGGGGAGGGGGAGGATGGGCTCGGGGGTCAAGGACGATGATGTGGAGGGGGCGCATACAAATAAGCAGAAAGATGATGAGGATAACTGGGCGCGGTCGGATGATACTCACGATCATGATGGTGCCGACGACGATAATGATGGTCATGTTGTCACTGGTGAGGATGTGGTTGTTGTCGACGGAATTGAAGATGCCAATTCTGGCGAATATGTCGGTGCTGATGCTGACGATGACGATGACGGTAACGATGACGATGGTGTTAACAATGACGATGGCGATGACGACGACCACGCGGACGACGACGATGATTAGGATTCTGATGTTGATGGCGATGCTGGCCAAATATGATGATGCTGATGATGATGCGGACGATGATGGAATTGTGCTAATGGTGCTGGTGATGATGATGACGATGCTGATGACGATGCTGATGAAGATAATGATGATGATGATGATGATGATGATGATGATGATGATGGTGACGATGATGCTGATGATGCTGATGGTGATGCTGATGATGCTGGTAATCATAATGATGGTGATAAGGATGATGCTGCTGAGGATGATAAGGCTGATGATGATGATTCTGGTGGTGATGAAGATGATGATGATGATGATGATGATGATGATGATGACGATGATGATGATGATGATGATGATGAGGATGATGATGATGATGACGACGACCATGGTGATGGTGCCGTTGACGGCGATGATGATGTTGATGCTGATGGTGTTGCTGCGGCTCATGATGATTATGATGTTGCTGATGATGATGATGATGATGATGATGATGATGATGATGATGATGATGATGCTGATGATGATGATGATGGAAAGAGGAGAAGGAGTAGGAGCAGGAGAAGGAGAAGGAGAAGGAGGAGGAGCATGAGGGGGATGATGTGGATGATAATCATCATGAGGAGGAGGAGGACCAGTGCAAACCCAAGACTCATCAACGATATTTCTATAAACCCTCGCTCCATGTTCCCCCTTCATAGGTCCCTACAAGGATTCATTTTCACTGAGGGAAATGCCCCGTTTGAAGACAACCGTTTGAACATGGCGAATTGCGCCAGAACAAAGTTCCCAGGACTTCAGCGCCCTAGATCACCGTTTCTGTTGCGTCTTGACGATCTCGAATCGTGCCAGATCGCGACCCGTTGGACTTCAACAGATCGAATGGAAGTAATTGTTGCGTCCTGGCAGTCCGATACCGTGCCGAAACATCATGTCTGAGATGGTAGCCACGAAGGCGATATTCACATTTTGAAAGCGAGCCGCCCTCCATCCGTGAAGCTCTTGCGACTTGTTAAGGCGAGTGCGCGCGGCGCTGAGGCGAGAGCCACGTTTTGAAAGCGGACCACCATCCATCTGTGAAGCTCTTGCGAAGGCGAAGACGAGTGTGCGCGGCGCTAGGTCGAGAGCCACATTTTGAAAGCGGGCCGCCCTCCGTTTGTGTATTTCTTGCATAATAACATCGAATGTGCGCGGCGCGACGGCGGGAGCTGCATTTAAGCACGGCGCTCACTGGCCGGATGAGATCCTTCACCGTCTAGATTGGACCTTTCGCCGGCCAGACGTTTGGGCCTCATTGGGCTTCCTACAAATTCTAGTGCGAACCCTCTGTCGAGCCCTCTTGGGCCGCTTACGTTTCCCGAGGCGCACCCTCGTGTCGAGCCTCCGTGGGCCTCCTGCGTTCTCCCATGGAGCACCCTCCTCTCGGGCTTCCTTCAGGAGGGAAAAAACACACAGACACAATTAATCGCCGATTCCCAGGGAAATATGGGAACATGTGGGAAGTGGGGGGGAAGACAAAAACCCAGAAAATATGGGAAAATATAGGGAATCCTGTTATTTGTGTGTCCTGGGGCCCCTTCATTCCTACGTCAAAGGTGCACCCGCTGATTGGATCTCCCACGCTCTTCCCGGGTGCATCCTCCCATTGAGCTTCCTTCGGCCTCCTGCGCTTTCCCAGGGCGCATCCTCATGTCGGGCCTCCGTGGGCCTCCTGCGTTTTCCCATGGCCGACCTCCTCTTGGGCTTCCTTCGTTTTCCCAGGGCACACCTTCCCGTTGGGCCGTTTTCCCAGGGCGTATCCTCCTAACAAGCCTCCTTGGGCCTCCTACGTTTTCCCAGTGCGCACTCTCCTGTCGAGCCTCCTTGGGCCTCCTACGTTTTCTCATGGGGCACCCTCTTTCTGGTCCCCAAACGCTTTGTGGTTCTCCTGATTGTTCTCATCCTTATCCTCCTGATGCTCCTGGTCGTACTTCTGAACGTCCTGCCCTGTTCGCCTGGTGAACGAGGGAGAGGAGGACAGGGGGCCAGTATGGAGAAGGGTTGGGTAAGGAGGAGGGAAGAGGGATGATGAGGGAGAAAACTGAGGAGGGATGGCTGAAGGGCGAGGGAGCAGGTTTGATAGTGATTTTGTTGTGGCGGCGATAATGGTGATGCTGGCGACGATTATTCCGATGACGATGGTGGTGCTGATACTGATGATGATGATGATGATGCTGATGATGATGATGATGATGATGATGGTGATGACGGCGACGATAGCGATGGTGATTACGAGGTTGCTGACGCGCGCGACGATGGCGAGCATGACGACGGTGGACACTACGACGATGCAGATACATATGGTTATACCTATGCGGATGCAATTTTTCATGACGATGATGCCCATCAGCGAAACATATGGTTCGGATAATGAGGGTTGTGAGGTTGATTATTAGGTTGCGGCTGTTGCTGATGGCGTATTGGCGACGTACATGTTGTTGACGACGACCTAGGGTGGACAATGTGATGACGATGATAACGCTGCTGCTAACGATCCGATGCTGGTGGTGATTAACTGTACGATGCGGGCGCTGCTTCTGACGATGGTGTTGTGATGCGGTCAGCGCTCATAGTTGATCATATGGGTGGCGATGTTGAGCATGAGGTTAGCGAGGGACGACGACGATGCTGATGAAGATGCTGGTGGTGATGCGTATGGCGATCATGATGATTCTGATGATGACGATGAGGGTTATGGCAATGCTACTGCTGCTGATGATTATGATTATGATCATGTTGATGATGAGAAAGGCGGGTGTCATGACGGCGGTGATGCGGCTGCTGCTGATGATGCAACTGATGAGGGTGGGGAGGGTGATGAGCCGCGCGCAGGATGATGATTGGTGATGGTGAGGATGGTGATGGGGTTGAGGATGATGATGGCAATACTGGTGGCGATGCTGATGCACCTGATTCGGCGGACGATGGTGTTCAGGTTGGCGATGCTGATGCGAATGCTGATGATACGGAGGCTGACGACGATGGCGATGTTCTGATGATGACGATGGCGATGCTGATGTTGCTGATGACGATGCTGATTCTGATGATGATGTTGATGATGCTGATGATGCGGATGATGCGGATGATGCTGATGATGATAATGATGATGATGATGATGCTGATTAGGATGCTGGTGTTGACGGTGCTGATGCTGATGATGGTGGTGGTTGTGATGTTGCGGCTGCTGATGCTGATGATGACGATGCTGATGATGATGATGCTGTGGTGATGATGCTGATGCTGCTGATCATAGCAATGTCAACGGTTTGCGGCGAGGAGAAGGATACTGCTTATCAGGGTAATGTTGATTGTATGATTCGGCGGAGGGGTGGGAGGACGATTTAGATGTATATACGGCTTTGGTGGTGTTCTTGCTGTTGCTGGCGACGATGGTGAAAGCGACGATTATACGGATGGTGCTGCTGAAGCAGATGATGCTGAGGATGCTGAGGGCCATTATGGTAATTCTTATGATGATGTTACGGAGGCGGCGGATCTGATTATGCTGATGATGCTGCTTGTGTTGCTGCTGATGCCGCTGCTGATGATGGTGTTGATGATGGTGCCAATGCTGCTGCTGCTGCTGATGCTGATGTTGATGATAATGATGCTGATGCTGGTACCGATGCTGATGCTGATGCTGATGATGACGAAGCTGAGGAGCAGGATGGGGTAGGGGCGGAATGGGGGAGATGATGACGATGACGATGATGCTGATGATGCTGATTCTACCGATGATGCTGATGTTGGTGATGATGATGATGCTGATTCTGACGATGCTGATGTTGTTGATGATCATGCTGCGGATATTGATACGGCGGCGGCTGCTGATGGTGATGCTGATGCTGGTGAACATGATGATGCTGCAGATGATGACGATTGTGATGCTGATGCTGGCGATGATGGTGATACTGACGATGCTGATGATTATGATGATGCGGATTCGGTTGCTTATGATGATGATGCTGATGCTGATGCCGACGATGATGATGATGATGATGATGATGATGATGATGCTGATGATGAACATGACGATGCTGAGGCTGGTGATGGTGCTTCTGCTGGGGATGACGATGCTTATGATGATTGATGATGCTGATGATTTTAAGGATGATGATGCTGTTGATGATGTGATGATGATGACTTTGATGCTGATGCTGATGCTGATGCTGATGATGATGATGATGATGATGATGATGATGTTGATGAGGATGCTGATGACGATGCTGAGGCTGGTAATGATGCTGATGCTAATGCTTATGATGCTGACGCTGAGGTGCAGGAGGGGTAGGGGCGGACGGGAGAGATGCTGCTAGTGCTGATGATGATGTTGTTGATGACGATGCTCATGCTGATGATGATGATGATGATGATGATGATGATGATGACGATGATGATACTGTTGATAATCACGATGCGGATGCTGATACGGCGGCGGCCGATGATGGTGATGGTGATGCTGATGCTGATGACGATGGCGATGCTGCTGAGGATGACGATTGTGATGCTGATGATAGTGATGATGGTGATGACGATGGTGCTG